GCTGCACGAAACCCCGTCTGCGGGATCAAGCCCTCGAGCGCCGAGGCAAGAACATTGGGGTCGAAAGGCGTGCCTCTGCGAAGATGCCCCGCAAAATATGATAATTGAGATGCAAGTGCCCTTAATCGCCTGGGCCTCCAGCTTCTCCAACTGGGCGCGATGCTCCTGCGTCGTGCGTGATGGATAACATCCTGTGGTGCTCCTCCACGGCCTCTTGTGCAGCAGCTTTGGCTTCCTTCTGGCGCTTCGCATCGCGAGCCACCAGGTCGCGCAGAGCATCGATCTGCGTCTTCAGCGGCTTGCAGGCGTACAAGGTCTGCTTGAGCGCCTGCTCTTGCAAGCGTAGCTCCGTCTGCAGGGGGGTCGCCTCTTACAGCACCTCCATCGCTGCCTTCACCGAGGCAAGCTGGTTAAGTATCTGGGTCACCACCTCGCTCGGGACTTCCTCCTCGTCGGCCACCTCGGACGGATTGTCCGAAGGGGATGGTGAGAAAGGCTCCGTCTCGAACCCACCCTTGTGCCCGTCCTTCTTTGCTGTAGGGGACGAGGAGAAGGAGGAGGAGGATGAGGAAGAGGAGGAGGAGGAGGAGGCCGAGGAGGAGCCAAAGGAAGCCGAGGAGGAAGAGGCGGCCGAAAGAGAGGAGGAGCCGGAACGGGCCGAGGAGAAGGATGAGGAGGAGGCTGCTGAGGCCAGCCCCAGGCGGGGAGCGAGGCGGAGTTGCAGAGGCGAGGAGGAGCACGAAGAGGCCGAGGAGGAGGAGGAGGCGGAGGCCAGCCCCAGGGCGGGGAACGCCGAGGAGAAGAAGGAGGAGGAGGAGGCAAAGGTCAGAGGGCTAAGAAGAGTCGGAAGTGACCGAGGAGCCCAAGGGCAGGGAGTGCCGAGGAAGAGGAGGAGCAATGGAGGTTGCGGCGCCGCCGGCGCCGCGACTGGGGGCCCAAGGCGGCGATCATGATGCGAGGAGGAGGAGGAGGACCAGTGTAAATCCAAAACCATCAACGATGTTAGAAGAAAGCCTCACTCCAAGCTCCCTCTTCGAAGGTCCCTAAGTACAAGGGTTCATTTCCACTCGGGGAACTGCCTCGTTGGAAGACGACCATTTGAAAACCCTGAAGCATGCCAAAACATTGTTCTCGATTCCAACGCCACGGATCAACCAGACTGTTGCCTTGACGATCCTGAATCGCGCCAGAACACCTTCCTGAGGCTTCAACACCGCGAACCAACGTAACTGTTGCGCCCTCATAATCCGGCACCCTTCCAAAACACAATTTCTGGTACGCTGATCATGCAACTCAGTGAAACTGCTACGCATTTAGAAGATGAAATGTGCGCGGCGCTAAGGCGAGAGCCACATTTTGAGAAGGAGCCCCCCTCAATCTGTGAAACCATTGCAACTTTTTACAACGAAGGCGCGCGGCGCTAAGGCGAGAACTACACTTTGAGAGCCATTCGCCCTCAATCCGTGAAACTCTTGCAACTGTTGTCAAACGAATTTGCGTGGCGCTACGGCGAGAGCCACATTTTGAAAACGACCCGCCCTCCACCTCTGTGAGAAGCTGTTGCCAAGATTTAAGCTTCAGGGTCATAAGTGGTGAGCAAGTCTCAGGCGAAACGCCCAGCCCGCCCTAAAAACTTGCCTCGGGGTGCGACAGGGAGAAATTATTCTGAAGGAAAAAATGGAGGAAGAGGAGGAGGAGGAGGAGGAGGAGGAGAAGCTCCCGGCAGCGCGCCCCTCGCCACCTCCCCCCTCAAGCCTGAGGTGCCCCAGCTCCCGCTGGGCTTGCAAGAGTGCCATCCTGGCGCTGCAGGCCCCGCAAGTGCCCCCCCCTCCCCGTCGAAGCTTGATCCTCGAAGTTTGAGGTTCGAACGTCGAGGATCGACGCTCATCCACGTACGCGGACCAGGTTCGAGGGCCACGACGAGGATGCAGGGCTACGACGTGCGAGGTCGACGTCGAGGATCGACGTTCCATCTTCGAGGGTCGAAAGCTCGATCCTCGAAGTGTAGGGCTCGAAGGTCGGTCCTCAAACGTTTTTCGTCATTTCTGAGCCTCTGGGGGGCCTCTCGTCTCCGCGGCCAGATGCGCCTCCTCAAGCGCTGGCCCCCACGCACCCCCTGGAAAGGTCCGGGGGGTCTGGCTTTGGGCTCCCTCGCGTCGTGTTCTTCCTCCGAAAAATGCGTGCACTCAAGGGTTCCCGCTCGTGTTCCGGGGTAACTGGGCCCCTGTGGTGGTCTGGCCGGCTCGTCGCCGCCCGTCGCCGCGCTGCTTTGCACTGCATTGCATTGCGCTTTGCGTGGTTTCGCATGGCTTTGCGCCACATAGATTGCGCCACCTAGACTGCCCCACCTAGACTGCACCGCATAGATTGCGAGAACTCACTGTTCGGGGTCCACGCGAGCTAGTTTTCGGCCCCCACCCAGCCCGCCCCCACCCCATCGCTCCGCCTCGCTCTGCGGTGTGGAAATGACGCCTCCTCCCTCCCGCGCTCCCCCCTCCCCCACCCCAACCGCGATCTCCTTCCAGCGGCGCGCGTTGTATGAGGAGATTGCCCTCCCCACCCTGCTCCCGCCATTCCCTCCTCCCCCCCCCTCCCCCCCCAACGCTACTAGGTCCTCTCTGCATCGCCCCACACGGGTTCAGCGCCTTCCGATGTGTTTGGAGATGCACCCCCTGGTGCTGGGAGGCTGGAAGAACAGCAGGACTCCACACGATCGGGGGGCTGCCTGTCTTCAGGACGTGGACGCGTGCAGTCGAGACGTTGCGATAAAGACCACTTTGGGTTCAGGCGGGGCTCTGGTTGTCGGGCATTTCCTTAGATCCAGGTCGGGGAAACGATTCGTGGCCGAGGCTCGCCGTGGCCAGAAAAGCCCAATCGCTCCGTACTTGGCGTTCCTGATAGTAACACGATGGCTGTGATAGCAAGGTGTGTTTACAACTGCACAGAGAACAGCGGGTTCGTGTCTTGACGAGTTCGGCCTCAGCTTCTGACATCGCGGGGATCGCCGCGTCGACACGACACGAATCTACCATATGTGAGTGTGGGCAGACGGTACCTTTACAACTGCACACAAGTATGCACCAGCCCTTTCCCATAACGAGTCGTACTTTTCCCACGCTGGCTTCTAAGAACGTTGCTTCGCACGCCAAGATAGTGCAATGCTTGTTGACCTGACCCGCGGATTCGCACTGTGTGAATGTAATACGTGGGATACGGAACGCCATGCAACATGTAAAATGCCTGAGAAGCACGCGCGTGTTTGACGGAGGTTGACGCGACAAGTAGCGTACCTACGAATTTTGGGCCGTAGCCAACTGCGCGGAAGGGCAATGACCCGGCAACAATTATCTGCGATGCGCGACATTCGTAAGTCTGCATATCTTAACGTGAGATAAGCGGGTCCTGAGGGACCCGGGTCCTGGACCGCAAGGCCTTCACCCGGGACCAGCCTTTCGTCAGCAATCCCACCAGCCCTCTGGGCGTAGGTGGTCAAGAGAGTTTCCTCTTCCAACCCCCTTTCTTCCACTTAGGGGAGGGGTTTACCGTCCCCCCGGCCCCCTCCCCTGGACCTGGACGGGGCGCTCTGCGAGGTGTCAGAGGGTACTTTTTCGCTCAGGATGGCTCCAAGAGAGCCTCAGAGCACCCAAGATGACTTTCAAGATGGCTCAAGATAGCCCAAGATGCCTCAAGTCGGCTCCCAGGATGCTCCAAGAGGCCCCAAGAACGCTCCAAGACGGCTCCAAGAGGCCTCCGAGACCTCGAAGGAGGCCTCCAAGAAGCCAGAATCTGTCCCAAACACAAGGGCAATCTATGTTTTTTGCTTTCTCGCCTTTTCGCTTCCGATGACCATCCGAGGCCTCAAGATGGCCCCAAGACGGTCCCAAAAGCGCTCAAAGAGCGCCCCAAGAGGCGACTTCTGGGGCTCTCGAGGGGGAGGGAGGTGGGGGGGGGGCGAATTAGGGACCCCCCCTTCTCGGATCGATCTTAGATGGCCCCAAGAGCGCTCTTAAGTCCCCGAAGAACGCCCCAAGATGGCCCCAAGAGGCGCCCAGACGGCCCCAAGAGGCGCCCAATATGCCTGCAAGAGGCTCCCAAGAGGCTCCCAAGAGGCTTCAAGAGGATCCCCGAGGCACCCAAGACGCCCCCCAGACGTTCCAAGAGGCCTCCACAAAAAAAGTCCCAAGAGACATCCGAGGAGGCTCTTATGTTCGTCCTGTTTCCCTCCTTTTCCTCCTTCTCCTCCTTCTCGTCCTCGTCGTCCTCGCCCTACTCCACCTCCTCCTCCTCATCTTCCTCCTCCTCCTACGACGACGATTCCTCCTCCATCCTCCCCCTCTTGGGGTATGTGACGGCTTTCCCCGCCATGTGTTCTTCTGCATGCTCCCCCACTTCCCTGATCACTTCAACTCCGCTGGGCATCGTTTCTGGATGGGCTGGTGGGGATACTTTTTTAGTTCGCGAGCGCATACGGAAGGGCCGCGCGCCGTCCAGAGCTACAGCTAACCAGCCAGAACCTAAATTGCACCGAAGGGGAGGAAAATAGAGACAACAAGAGATAACAACAAAACAACTGGTGGGATGTATGTTTTTTTGATCGCAAGCGCACCAGGAGACGCCGGACGCCGTCCAAAGGTCGCAGCAAGCGGGCTACGAACGAATTGCGCACCAGGAGGGGGGAGGGAGGCAACAAGAGGACAGCGGAGGGAGGAATAAGCAGGAACTGGTGGGGATACGCGAAGCGTCAACCATTTTCTTCATGGTCCGGGGGCGTGGGGAAGGCGCCAGGAACCCGAAAACGAGGAAACACCGCACGACCCACTTTCCTCACTGCCCGTCTGCTATATGGCGACCTTGGGTCAAGAAACTCCTTCCACGGAGCACACGGAACAGCCATGCCCGCTGGAGTTCCGCTCCGCTGGCCGTGGAAACTCGACCACAGCATGCAAAACAGCCCCGCGCGCCCCCCTTCCCCCTTCCTCCCTGGCGCGGGGGGGCGGTGCCAGCGCCAGCGGCGCCGTTGGCGCTGGCGCCCTTATGGAGGCCACCCAAAAATGGGGCCAGGCTTACATTTGCGACCTCTTCGATTCTGGCTTCTGGGAGCTGTTTCTGGGCTCTGGGATGGTCAAAGACAGATCGGGGACGAACAACTATCCCGGGGATGTGGTCGGGACCTCTGGAGCCGCGGGCTGAACAAATCACATCGTCGGATGTAGGGGAGTGGATGGAGGCGGAACATCGCGCTGCATCGCCGATGCATCGGCGATATCGGGACGGAGGAAATTGGGCTAGCCGCATCGCGGATGCGTCGGCGATGCGGCGCGATCGTCCGACCCCGTCAGCTCCCTCTTGAACCCGTTGGAGGTCTCCAAAGGTCCCCAAACGTCCCAGGAGGCCTCCCGAGGCCCAGAACTGCCTGAAGACGCCTAGAAACCTTGACTAGCAAACCTCCGACCCCATGTATTCGGATCTCACCAGCAATCGGGCGGCACGACTATTTCGAGACATTGGTCCCTGACTTTTTCTACGAATCAATGTTTCGATGCGATCGCCCCTGGGCCCGAAACTGGTCTACAGGGGGTCAGAACTGCGAAACGCTGGCCGCTTCAATCTTTTCGAGCAGCCAGATTTCCAGAGAGGGCGAGGAGGACTACGCTGTCGGGCCATACCTCGTATCCAACGGCAGTTCGGCACGATCCTGGCACCTCTGGATAACTCTGACGAGCCGCAGCTGCTGAAACACATCCTGAGGCTGGAAAATCACAGGAGAACATCCGAAACTTCGAACCTAAATCTTCCGCACTTTGATTTTTACAGTCCCCGCTCGTTCTCCCCGATTTCGGCCTCTGGGGACTTTTTCAAGCACTTGTGGCATGCCGACTTCCTGGGACAAAAAACCTCCCCCGTGGAAGTGGTCGAGACGACGGGGTGAACCACGCAACAACATCTCCTCGGATGTCCCCGAGATCCGGCGTCGCGGAAAATCATCCTTGCGAAGGACCCCACGTACCACGTAAAAGCCGTGCCATGACGGCACATCGGCAACAGTGCGATCAGTCAAAGTGAAACGGCATACTATCGAACAGCGGCTTTCCATGCGCTGAAGCAGCCGCTATCTCTACCCAGAGCGGCGGAAAGACGATGTTCGTCTCCTCCGACGGCCCTGCGCGCATGCATTCTGGCCCTGTCCCCAAGAGGCTCTTGGACGCCCTCGCTTTCGCGCGCCAGCCGGTCGCGCCAGCTGCGTTGACGAAGGTGCGAAAATGGATCTGCGAACAATGCTGGTGTCTGGCATGAATACTACTTTTCCTAAGAGGCATACTTGCTTGGCAACCAACTGGTCTGCCAGCGGGCGCGCCGAAGAAATCTCCAAAACCCATTGGTTGGACGCTCTCGAGATCATGGGGTGCGGTATCCCCCAGATCTGTCTCAAACAAGAAACGTGGGATGATTTGATCAGAAAAATTCCGCTTGGTTGAATCGCTTTGCGTCTAAGCTGTACAATAGTTTGGAGACGACGCACGCCTCGTAAATCCTCTGCTTCCTACTCCTGCTCAGAGAAGAATGGCTACAGACTGTCTTCAAGATTGCGAATGTGCCCCTTGCCTCCCCCAGTCTCCGGGATGCCGCGCATCTGGGGGAACGGCTGGTTTTTCAACAGGCCGCCGAAACACGCGTGCTGCTCCGCATCTAGAATGGGGCGACCGCTCGGATCCAGAATCGGCGCCGGGTTGCCGATGCGCAAGACAACAGTTTTGTCCCAATTTGGAAGCAAACCGCACGGGGCAGCTCGAGACAGCAGGCTGTTCAGGGATGCCTGTAAGCAAGTAGATGATGTACTAATCAAGGCGGTCTCGTCAGCATATTCCACGTCGTCTGTTTTGCAACCGCCCCGTTCCCAATTCACATCTGCCATGATGACGGATACGGGAAGAACTGGCAGCTTGGGCAATGCCGGCTGCCTGCTGGCGGGCGCTAGATTCTGCGCCGGCGTCTCGAAACGTGAACGTTCTGCATCTGCATACGGACGCGACCGTGTCGATATAGGCCTCGGGGAGACCAAACCTGCGCAATGCCACTTGCATTGCTCCTGGGTCGATGCGGTCGAAGGCTTTTGACAAATCCAGAAGTAATACGGAAAGTTCGCCGTCGCTCCAATCCTGCGCTGCGCCCATGATGCGCTGCGCGGTGGGGATGGCCAGGTCGGCGCCCCTGCCAGGGCGAAAACCAAGTGGATTGTCTCGGAGGCGATTCTCGATTCCTCCAGTTCGAAGCCGGCCCAGAATCAAAGCGGCGAGAACCTTGCATCCCACTGCCAACAATGAAATAGGGCGGCAATTCGATGGCAGCGCTGGGTTGCCTTTCTTGAATATTGCAGACACCGGAAACAACCCCAGGATTGAGGGATCGCCCGCGCCTCCCAGCATGAGTTCAATAGTTGTAACAAGATTTGGGGAGAAGTGTCATTGCGGCCTAAGGTGGCCCAGAAGTCCGGCGGCACATTGTCAGGCCCACTTGCCTTTCGCCGCAGCCGGGAAAAAACCTTATTCAGTTCCTGCTGGGGGAACTCTCTGGTCGTAATGTCTATCACCGGGCCCAATCGAGGTTCGGATGGCACGCCCCCCCCCTGCGCCAGGAACTCTTGTCCATTGCGCGTCCTGGAAGTAAGTTGTGTCAGCCCTGTCGTTGGAGCCCACGAGATTGCCGCTCATTCTCTGTAATCGCCCCTGCTGTTGGCGCGAAGCTCCATGCCGCAAGTGCTTAATATCTGACCAACCATTAGCCGCCAAGTCCCTCTCTCGCCATTATGTTCGGTGTTGTTTGGCAGCGGATTTGATTTGCTTGTCCAAGGGAACTTATCGCATGAATTGCCCCGCAGCCCGGGCAGCGTTCCGCTGTTCGATGAAGTCAAGTGTGGCTGGTCGAATCCATGGTTGTTTTGCGACGGCGGGTCTCACTGGAAGTGCGCTCTCCGTGGCGGCCTCCATGGCAGCTCTGACCGCCTCCGCCATCGAATCGAAATGCTGGTCTGCAACGCCGCGCAGAAGGTCCCGGGCGCTCTCCGAGAAATGCGCGCAGAAATGCTCGGCGATAGGATGTAACTTCAAACTCTGAATGTCGCGTAACTCTTCCCGCGCATGGGACGGTGTCTTCTTGATCTCCACAGCGGTGTCAACGATAACAAAGAAACTATGAACTTGCAATGCGATGTCTCTTCTGCTCCGTATACGGCGCGCAGAATCGTGCCACTTGCTTGTCACCAAAATACGATCGAGTTCGGCAAAAGTGCTCGCAATGATCTCATCGAACGGGCGAGCAGCGAGGTCGTAGTAGGTGATTTGTTCGTGCACGGGTTGCTCGAATAACGTGTTCGCCACCACCATGCGCATAGACATGCACCTCTCCATTAAGAGTTCCGGGTTGCTAGATGCATCGGGCTCTGCAAATGTATTGCCGAACGCATGCGGTCCGAGTGCGTCCTCCTCTCCAGCGCATCTCTTGTGTAACCTGCTGTTCATATCACCGGGGACGATGAGTGGTCCATGTGCCTTCGATCTCCGGGCTGCCCCTTCAAGCTCGCGAAAGAAATTATGCCGCCCCTCCACTGAGCGGCCGCTGCGGGGAGCATGCCCTGTAATTGTGCTCATCTGCCCCCCCCCCCCCCCCCCCCCCCGCGACTCTGACATTCAACGTAGCGATGCGTGAACTCTGCTGCAAAACACTCAAACTTGAATGGCGGACCCGCGGAGACACGAAGAAACCCACCCCAGCGTGCTCTCGACCGCCCCCGACGCCCCCCGAAAATATCACAAAGAAGTGGTCGTATACGCACGTAACAGGCAGAGCCAGGCAAATGTGTCTCCTGGAAGCACAATACGTATATGCTCTCGCTCCTCATAACCAAAAATAATTGTTCCAACTTGGTCTCATTCGTGCTCTTCTCCTCCGACAGCCCCTCCGCGTTCCACGAAGCACATCGCCCCATGCATGCCAACCTTGGAGTCGTGGTGTCACGGAATTACCTTGGGCAGCCCCGTCGTTCCTGAAAGCGCGCTGCTCGCAAGATGAACTCTCTCACCGTGTTGGGAAACAACTTCTGCGCGCAACTCCCATGGATGTGAAACGCCGACGCGCCGTCCGTCTCCTTGATGCAACTTGTGCGAAGGACCCCGCCATATGCAATGATCGAGGGGGGCCTCCCTATGCGGCCGCGAACCGCGTGAGACAGGCGATCCGAGTGAGGAGTGCGCCAACGTGGGGCGGGCGCCGCACGCGGGCTGCAGGGGGGGGGGGGGGGGGGGGGGGGGCGCGCACGCGATGACGGCCGCTGTGACCTTTGATGGGGCTCCTTCTGGGGCCACGAAGCGCGAGGGGCGCGCCGAAATGGGCGGGGGGGGGGGGGGGGGGGGGGCGCGCGCGCGCGAGGGCGGCCGCAGGGGCCTTCGGTGGAGCTCCCAATGGGGCCGCGCAACGTCTGAGGGATGCGCTGAAATGGGTCGGACGCATGCGGGCGGCGCCAGCGGGGCCTTCGGCGGAGCTCCCTACGGGGCCACGATCCACGTGAAGTGTGTGCCGAAATTGGTCGGTCGGACGCATGCGGCCGACGCCCCTAGGACCTTCGGTGAAGCTCCCTATGGGGCCACGGTCCTCGTGCAGGGTGTGCCCACATTGGAGGGTCGGACGCCTGCGGCCGACGCCCCTCGGACCTTCGGTGGGGCCCTCTATGGGGCCACGGTTGTCGTGAAGTGCGTGCCGAAATTGGTGGGTCGGACGCGTGCGGGCGGCGCCCCTGGGACCTTCGGTGGCGACCCCGATGGGGCCACGATCCTCGTGCAAGGTGCGCCGACATGGGTGGGTCGGAAACATGCGGCCGACGCCTCTAGGTCCTTCGGTGGAGCTCCCTACGAGGCCACGATCACCGTGAGGGGTGTGCCGACATGGATGAGTCGGACGCGCGCGGGCGGCGCCGCTGGGACCTCTTCGGTGGAGATCATTATGGGGCCACGATCATCGTGAGGGGTGGGTCGGGCGCA